CGAGTCTCATCCAAGGCGTGTTCCAAGAACATCCACCCAAGGTACCCCTCCCATCCGCATACACCCGAGACTTCCTAGTGTGCTCCTATCCGGATCACACACCACGACCCTAGGTCAACTGGAACTCCCTCTCGGAGACCTATCCAGTGGAAGTCCGAAACGCCCGAAGGCAAAACTGTCTACTGGCCAGAGACTCGGTACCTACGTACCCACATACATACTACATGCATGATCATGTTATTCTACACTACTCATATACATTTCCCACCATCACCCTCAACGGGTATGGTGGAACACACAAGGGGATCAAGCCCCAGTACCAAGAGGTTACCTTAATAAGCCTCTTCACTTAGCTCCACAGCGATATATTCTCCGAGCTCGTTACTCAACAGAATGCCTACACAGAGGACATTCCCAATTACTTAAAACTCATACGAACACTTGCAAGTTACCAATTATACAAGCATTGTTCCAATCACTTACCTCAATCCCACTTGGTCCAGGACCAAGGGCAATCCACCGACTCACGGTTCGGGGTTCAATTTCACGTACGACAACCTACAACAACCATCTACGAATCATCAGTACACGACAATTCTATCAGAATACGAAAAACGTCAGAAACCTCCCCTACACCTTGTAGGTTCGGCCAAACATGTGTAAATTTGAGATTTATTTTTCTAAATTTTCTTTCTCATTTTCTTAGGCATCCTTAGGTTGCCAAAAGGCCATATCAAGTGCCACTTTTTATTTTACGTCATCTAAACGTCGTTTTGCCTAATCTTTCGCTCTAGGTTCCACCTAACCACTCAACACCATCAATATTTTATCAGAAATCATATTCCCTAGTTCTATAAACCATTTATAACTCATATTTAAAACCTAGAGCTCAAAACTCAATCGGCACGTTTTACGGTGCAACTGTACCGCGGTATTTTTATCCGGTAAAAATACTATTCACTGAATTTTCTGAAACTTGCCTAACCACTCAATTTTTCGTACTGAATCCATTTCTAGGGTTATTTTTACCATATGAGACCTTCTACTCAATTTTTATCTTCCTAGGGTTGCGTGTTGGTTAATTACCGTTTGCCCTTTCTTTGTGTTTTGGCCTAATTTTCAGGTTTTTCAATAATCCTTCACTTTAATCCTCATTTAATATTTTAATATTTAATCTAGAATTGCGAGGTGTTATATTACTCGTAAAAGTTAGTTTTGTAAAATGGTCCACATTCCCGCAATAATTGACAATCAACCAAATATAGAATCAGAAAATTTGAGCCAACATTCATGAAAATAATTTGGCCTACCAAACTGATTTTTGATAACATTCCCGGAAAATTCGCTTTCCTAGCATATTCCTGGAAATCGTGATTCCCAGGAACAAAAAATTTTCTCCTCTACCAAACGCCCCTTAGAGAAAAGATCCTCGTACAACTGATATTTGAAAGGTATAATTCTTTGAATTGAATAGATTTAGGAGACAAAGCAACAAGAAGTTTCAAAACTCATGGTTAGGAAAAAAAGAATTTTCAAGAAATGACTTGCCAAGATATGTCCATGTTATGGAGAAAGTTCTTGCCTATTATTCGTTGCCATGTGAGAAATTAAGATAAAAAGATATTAGAGAATGAAACAGTGTAAACATATAGAAATAACAAAAATTGATTTACATTGCATGCATAAATTCATGATATGATTTTTTTTTGAATAAACCAGAGGTATCCTCCCCCGTTCGAGCCAGGAATATCCATATTATGATGAGGTTAGCTCTCCCAAAGAATTTTTTTTGCATTCACAAGTATTTGAATCCAAGACCTTGCTTAAGCGGAATCGAGCAAGTACCACTTGAGCCAACCCCCTTTGGTCATGTTATGATATTTCTATCTATGCATGTATTATGAGATTGTTTAATATGATTCATAGATCCACACTTCATGATCATAAAATATTTATTGATTAATCTATTTAATTTTAGGGTGACATGCATACCAAAAAATTAATAATGCTTTGTCATGTGAAGATTCATGTGTACGAATCTATAACTATTTATATTCTTAACCTTTTTCTGTAACTATGTAATGAATTGGAATGATTTTATGAGCTTGAAACACATGAAAATATCATAATTTGAAAACATCTTAAAATTAATTAATGTTAGATTCAAGTGTTATAGTTCAATCTGACTATGATCTACATTGGGTTTTATCAAGGCAGTATATTAGTCTCACCAACAATCCCCCCAACACCTGACTTATGCAAAGTGTCATATCAAGGAATCAAACTTGTGATTTGGACTCTAATACCAAATGTTAGATCAATTGCTTATCACTAGGCCAAAAGTTATAGTTGTTAGTCAGGATGCAATTCTTTTTACTTACCCTTCCTAGCCCAAATGTCATGGTTCAATCTGACTCTGACCTCCATCAGGTCTTGTCAAACCAAGATGTTGGCCTCACCAACACATATAATGAGAGAAAGTGTCATGAAATGTACTCTTAAAGAATGTAAAATTATAAGGGTAAAGACATAAACCAACAGACTATAATAAGTGGTGAATTGTCCTCATAGAGGATGATAAGACTCTGATTACATTCTATTTTTTCATAACTTTTATGGTTATATAATGTTAAGCTTTCATAATTTAGTTCTTTTTGTCATTATATTTATAGGTTAAGAAAATTTGAAACTCTTACATGCCATGAAAAAATCGTTAGAAAAGAGCAGTGGAAAGGAAAAAGAGAGAAAATAGAGAATAGGGAAAGTTTGTGGATAAGATAGAAACACAAAAATAACACAATAGTTTTGTTAACAAATGAGCTGTGAATGGAAAAGTTTCTAAGGCCATTATAAGTTTTCACTTCGTCTATGCAATGTTATTAGAACCGGACCGGTCATTGACCTGGTCGAGGTACTGGGTCACTGGGTCAATGGTTGAACCGCATGAACCGGATATATATATATATATATATATATATATATATATATAAACTTATATTTTATACTTAATTATATAATAAATATTTTAAATGGTGCTAACTAAATAATAACCTAGTGTAGTTTAGTGGTATTTGCTATGTTGCACAACCTCAATGGAAGGGGTTCAAACCCCATTAGATGTGCTTTTTGAAATAATTCTCTTTAACTTAATAGTTATATAATAAAGGGTTATGTTTATCTCATTTTACATGAGATAAACAACTCTCCTACACACACAAAGGGATTGGGTCCCACCACTCTCTTTTCTCTCTCCTCTTATCTGTGGGTCCTATTTATACTTTTGTTTCTACAACATGAGGTAGTTTTTTCCCTACAACATAAGAAAAATATATCCCTATAATAAATATATTAAATGATGTATATTACTCAACCAGTAATGGTGGTTTAGTGGTATGAGAAGGTGCTCCTCACACCAATGAGCAGGGTTTGAACCCACCTGCTGCAAAAAAATATTTTGGAACCAATTTTAAAAAACCGGTTCAAATAGAAAACCCGGCCAGGCCGGTCCAATTTTTATAACACTGCGTCTATGTATTATTTCCTAGCATTTTAAACAATAATGGACCAATTTGATTGTTTGAAAATTTAGATATGGCAAAGCGGGCAACCTGCTTCGCCATGCCATCAACCTAACTAAAAACAGGTTAACCTGCCCTCGCCTGCTTGTGAAAGTGAGTTGAGAAACTTAACCCGACTCAAATATTTTCATCATTGTTTTTATGGTCTTTATTCTGGTAAAACTCTTACTCTTATGCTGGTACTTCTACGAAAAAGATCGAAGAAGAAATATAGGACAATTCTAAAGGAAAATTGTACGTTATTTGAGGAAAATAATATTACAATCCCATTTCATTTGCTTTTTCCAATTAAATTATTGATTTTTTTGCATGCCTATTTCAAATAATTGTTTATTGGCTTAGTTAGGGATGAGCTTAAAACTTTGGGGTCATTACAATTCAGTTTGGCTATAGTTGAAGCTGCAAAAAATAAGTTTTCACAAGAGAACAAAATGAAGTTAGGTTAAATTAGGTTAGGTGTAAAAAAAAAGTTAAAAAAAAAAAAAAAGTTATACAGGTTAAGTTTCCCCGTGGCGGATTGAACTTGTTTTTAATCTGCACAAAAGCGGGTGAGTTATGCAGGTTGTCAAGCTTAACCCATCTCGCCATATTTTGAAGGCGGGGGCAGGCTGACTCACAGGATTGAACTTTTTTGCCTGTGTTATTTGAAACAGGTAAGATGAAACAATTTTCCGAACAAAATATGCCTTTTATTCATCTTGGGGTAAGAATTTTATTTTACAAATATTTCCTAATCCATTTTAATTTATTTTGTTGTCAGCTACTAATTTAATACATGTTTATATTTAATTAAATATAGGTGAACAATAATTTTTTTAAAAAATTCAGTAAAGTTTTGACTATGTTATTTTTTTATGTAAAAATATCCAATAAATAAAAATAGAGAAAAACATTTTTGCAATTGCTTTAGAAATTTTTATCTGTCTCACAGAATGTATTCTTTGGAATATATAGGCAAAATTATTAAACGAACTTTATTGCATGAGACCTATTCTTTTTTTGGTCCTACTGCTTTGTTTTATAAGAGTGGCTGATAAAGTTAAACCCATAAAAATATCATAGTAATTAACATAATTAAGATTTAATCAGTATCCATTTATGTCTATCAAAAAAAAAAATCAGTATCCATTTATATTCATCCACACATTTAAAAGCTTCATCACATATAAATCAATATTTTAGAATTAATTGTTTAAAATAAATTTTCATTTTCATAAATTTTCATTTTAGAATTCGGGAAGGCAAATTTTCATATCAGTTGACATCAAATGATTTAATAACAACCCCACTTAAAAATCATTTTATTTTATGTTTTCTCTCAATTTGGAAACCCATATTTTTTTTTTTTGATGTAGATGAGTGAAGTGAGAATATCATTTTAGTTAAAGTATTTCTTCATTGTTATAAAAAAAAAAAAAAGTATTTCTTCATTACTTACAATCCTCGAAGCTAATACTCTTCTGAAATAGTATTGTTTTGCCATAACCCACCAAGCAACTGCTTTTCCAAATTCTTCATTTTGGGCTTCCGTTTTATTCTTCCGGTCACCCTCATCTCACCGCCGCTGCCACCACCGATCATCACGGTGGCGTGTGGTCCCCACAGCTCCACCTGGCCTCAGGTTCAATCAATTTTTTTTTTTTTTGAATTTTTTAATCTGGGTAATTTGTTTTGTTCATCTTGCTGGGGATTGATTTCCCCCCTTTGATTGGATACCATTTTCATTTTGAAGCAAAAAAAAACCCTCTTTTTTTTTGGCGGGGGGTGGGGGTGGGGGGGATTGATGCGATCTTTGAAGAAATAAAGTTGGAGTTTTGATTTTTGTTTTGAGAGCTTAAATTGTCAAATGCCCTATTTGTTTCGATTTCGTTGTTTATTGGAAAATTTGAACGATTTTTCATATTTGGTTTGGGATGGATTTGGCCTATTAAGTAGTGCAATTCTCCAATTTGAATTTCGATATTCTTTATCGTTCGAATTCCCTAACACTGTTGCAGAAATTTTCATCTTTCAATTCGTGGGTGGGTCTTAATTCCTCGAATTGTTTGCGCCTGCAACTGCCCCACACTCAATTTAAGATGCAATCCCGATCTTATTAATAGTGTTTGTATCCATTTGATTAATATACGTTTTGTTTGTTTTTTTAAAAAAAGATTAGGTTGGATTATGAAATTTGTTGAAAAACCTTACACAAAAAGGAAATAAAAGAAATTAACAACTATTCAGTCATGCCTAAATCCGAGTCATAAAAATATTCCATTTGTAACCAAATAAAAGTAGAAAGTAAAATAACATTTTCATTTTGCAAGGAGCTTAGACTTTGGTATATATATAGGAAAAGCTTTTCTAGCATGATGGCTTTGGAGGAGCATAAATCTATACTGAAACTGTGTTAAAGGGTTTGACTAAAATCATAATTTTTGTTCTCCAAATATCCCTTCCCTTTTAGCTTACTCAGGTGAAGGTACAGGTTGGGTTGCGAGCAACATTAGTGCAGCAAATGTATCTGGTGGTAGCAAAGCATAAATTGGGTTGCCAGACACTTGGTTCTGAATTCCCTCCCTAACCTGAAGTATGACCAAATTGAGTGTTAGAAGCATAAACAAAGATGTATTTGTGAATGACATGTTTGAGTTTCTTATTCTTTTACAAAGCTAAATGGCAAATTGCTGAAGTGGACTGCTGGGGGAAGTTTAGTGAAACTGATGTAGGATCAAAGCTGGATGATTAAATCCGTAGCAGACAAGAAACATAGAGAGAGAATAGGATGGGCTGAGAGTTCTGAACACAGCCAAAAGAGGTCCGGTCTCTGGTTAACAACCAGGAAATTAGACAAAAAGTTTCTGCTAATAATCAGTAGTTTCTTCCATTCCACCATGTTCCCCTTGATTAGTGGGCTCAGTACCATAAAAGTATTTTTCCATCATCTCCATCTTCAAATTCATCCTCTAGTCAACCTTACTGAATGTTCTTTACAATTTGGATTGTGGTCACCTTTTGGAATCATCACACAAGATTCCACTTGATTTCTTGCAGATTTCTCACTTTTGCATAAGTTGCACAATGTGTTTTGTATCTTTTTATTTTTTATTTTTTTGAGCTTGGGTAAGCCTAAGAACTCTTGTTCTATGTGCTGCCATAACTAATATGGGTCAAATTCAAATTTGTTAACCTAATTGATGTAAGGTAAAATCCTTAGGATTAAATCTATTGTAGACAAAAAATATATAGAAAAAAATGATTTATAAAAATGGATTTGGCTCCTCTAAAGTGAAGGGTGGTCTTTAGAGGGAAAAATTAGGAGTTATGATCATTGATGAGAACATCAAGGGAGTGGATTTTAACAGCATAGTTTATTCTACATGTGCATGTATTTTATCACAATCTCAGCTGTTGATTCTTCAATCAACGATTATAACTGCACTTTTCGCCCTAAAGTGCATCCCTCACTTTAGAAGAGCCAAATCCTTTAAAATCAGCCCTAACAGAGCTGGTGTTCTGGTCAGCCGCCTTCTTCCTGGTCATAGCTCAAGTACTTGGGGTGAGTCATGAGTGGGGATTTGGGTAGAAGTTATCTATATAAAATAAAAAAAGAAAAGATTGGGAAGGTTATTGGTTGATGAGAGATTTGAGGAAATTGTGGACCTGATTGACAATTCAGCTTCTATGAATCTAATGACAACATTTGGTACTGTGTATTGTGTTTAATATTGTTAGAATATCTTATTAGAATATCGTAGGATATTACATATATACTGTAGAATCAGTTAGGATTAATTTTACAAGGGATTGAATCACTATAATTAATATCCACACTAATATATAGAGAGACTATGTATGGTCTGTTATAGACACAAATTCTTCCGGTCGGATTTCTTCCCTGAAATTCAAGTAATATATTTATACTTAATTTCATATATTGTGCAGTATAAATTCTTTTGAAGTAAGTCACTATTACTATGTTCATGGGTAATACTTTGTTTCTTCAGGTTCCCTAATTGGGCTTTCAGTTTTTTATTGTTGAGGATGGTGCTGGTCTTGGCCCTGGGTGATTTGCATGTGCCCCACAGGGCACCTGATCTGCCTGCGAAGTTCAAATCCATGCTTGTCCCTGGCAAGATCCAGCATATTATTTGCACTGGAAATTTATGTATCAAAGTATGTATAATTTTCCGCCTTACTGTAGCAAATAATACTGATCCAATTTGAATGTTTCTATGTTACATTTTTGGAGTACAATGGATCACCTCTTTTATATATTTTTCAACTTCTATATTATGAGGCAACAAAGGGCCACAGGGTTTTGAAGGGCCATTGTTTGCTTGTCTTGCATTCTTTCCTTTTATTTTCTATGAAGTGAAGTGCTTTTCTCTTGAATCTTGTACTTGTAGCGTTTGAGTTCATTAGGAGAGGCTGACTCCTATTAGAATTTAAGCCTTTATTGGTTCAACATCAACGTCACTTTTTTCCCACACTAGTTAGGGTCAGCAATTGATGAACCCTAATAAAAAGCAAGAAAAGATTGAGGGAAAGGAAAAATAAATGAGAGATGACAAATCTGATGCATTAGTACTTATTTTTTTTTTTAAGGAATGCCATGAGAAATCTTTGATCTATTGTTTCATAAAGTGTCAATGAAGTGGTAGTTGGGTAGAAAACCAATGACTTTTGAACAATTTTTGAAATTGGGAAATCTTGGATGCCTATACATACGGAAGGTTAGTAATTGTCCTTGTGATTAGTGGTGTAACCATGGTGGGGGCCTGCAGTACCCCTGGACTTTTTCTACAATATGCAATATCCTTTACTTTCAAAAACTGAGTTTGAAAGGTTTTTCACGGGCTTATCCCATTTCATGACAATATTTTTTAACATAATATACATTATATTTAATGCATCTAGGCTTGTTTGATTGCCTCCCTTAAGATCAGTGATGCTTTCTTTGTAATCAAAAGGTGCCAATCCAGCATAAAGGAAAAAGTGTGAACAAAAGCATAAGATAAATGTTGCAGAGATGAGAGTTTTGCAGTGGATGAGTGGATGTGCAAATCATGAATGAATATATTGTAAGAAAGTAGGGATAGCTCCTATTGAGAAAAAACTGATAGAATCTTGCTTAAGGTGATTTCTACTGTGAGAAGAAGACCAATAGAAGCCTTAGAAGGTTTGATTAGATGGAGGGAAACCCAATAAATAGAGGTGCAGAGTAGACCAAGAAAAACTATAATAGAAACTATTAAAAAGACTTAAATCTAAATGACCTTTCTTGAGTTTTACTTTCTTATAGAGCACAATGGTGTCATTTGATTCATGTAACTAACCCCACCTAGTGGAAACGGCTTTAGTTGTTATTGTTGCTGATTAGATTTAAGGGTTTGCTCTTTTCAGTGATTGCTCCTATTTAAATAAAAGGACAAGATCATTTTACATCAGTGTAAGTTACACTTTCAATCTTGACCGTTGATCCCATTTATATCTAACGGCTCTAATTTATTAGATATGTGAGCTGTTAGATGCAAGCATATCAATGGTCAAGATTGGATGTAAAACTTCTTATTCTTACACCAGTATAAATTAATCATATCCCTTAAATAAATTGTTTATTCATTTACTAGGGCACAATATGTGCAGATGCCTGAAAGCAATAGCTTCAATCACAATATTTTCCGCACTACCGTAGTACTGAACATTGAGTGCATCACCTATTAAAGTTAGGAAAAAGAGTCATCTAAGTGCATTTACTCTACCCATTTCTTTATTATAAATGTCATATGTGTCCCACTTGTTTCTAGTTTTAGTAAAGGAGTATAGTGATGAAGATTTACTCCTAAATAAGATTGGTAAGAGTCTGAGATTTAATTGACTTATTGTACGTTTTGCAAACTTATTGTTGAGAGAAAGTTGAACAACATGTTCCAAGTAACTTACTAGAAAATAGTTTAGTTTAGCATTTTGCATTTAGCATGACCTCGCTGCAGTTAGTTGTGTTTTTAGTGTGAGATCCATATTTTTATCTGTCATAAAATATCTGGTTTAGAGATTTGGTCGGGATTAAGAGAAAGAAACCGTATGATCATTCCACTGCTTTTGGTAAATGTGGATCAGATAAAAAAAATTGCTGGAAATTATGAAGGAACTCCCTATTTCTAGCACTTGTCAGTTCTGAAATTTGAGCTTTCAAAGTAGTAAATATCTTTCTTAAATCCACTTTCGCATAGTAATAAAGTTCTTCCTCTCTGTTTACCAAAAAAAAAAAGTTCTTCCTCTCTACAGTGCCAATCATCCTCTTCAATTCCTCTTGTAGGAAATCTGATCTGATACAGACCAACAATTCCAATACAGAAACAAATCAAGAACAGTATGTTGCTATGGGAAATTACAGTGACAATAATGGAAGAGACAATTAACAGTAATAAAAAAGAGAAAATAACAATGATAGTTCTAGAGCAATTGGAGAGGCCAATGTTGTTAAAACGTAGTGTCTACGTAGAAACGGTAGGGGTGAGCAGAAACGTAAAATCGAAAAACGTAAACGAAACGTAAGAGTTTACTATGTACAAAAAAAACATATCCAATATATATAAAACCAAAACATACCAATACATAAGTTATCACAAATATAATACATTTTAGTTTAAAGTTAATTTTTGTATTAAGACATCATTTCATTAGTTTGACCATATTAATAATTATCCTTATTGAAAAGAAGTTTTTGTATATAGATCTTGAATAATTTACATGAGTGAGTATTTATACAAGAAAGAATCACTAAGAATGACTAAGCGATGACTAATCAATCCTAATCACAATCAATTCTAATCAATCACAATCAATCCTAATCAATCATAATCAATCCTAATTAATAGGAAATAAAAACGGAAACATGTTTGAATTCTGATTTTCTACACTCCCCCTCAAGTTGGGAGGTAAATATTGATCATTCCCAACTTGCCAATCAAGTCTTCGAATGCTGGACGGTGTAGGCCCTTGGTAAGGATATCTGCCGTTTGCTCTTTGGTTGGAACATATATCAAACGCACACTTCCATCATTTAATTTTTCTTTGATGAAGTGACGATCAACTTCCACGTGCTTTGTTCGATCATGATGCACAGGATTTTGAGCAATGCTAACAGCTGCCTTGTTGTCGCAATATAGTTTTATTGGTAGGGAATATGAAATCTTCAACTCTTGAAGAAGTCTTCTCAACCAGATTCCTTCACAAACTCCATGAGCTAAAGCTCGAAATTCTGCTTCAGCACTACTTCTTGCAACCACTGTTTGCTTTTTGCTTCTCCAAGTAACAAGATTTCCCCACACATAGGTGCAATAGCTTGAGGTAGATCTCCTGTCTACTAATGAGCCTGCCCAATCTGCATCAGTGTAGATTTCAATTGTCCTTTTATACCCCTTTTTAAAGAATAATCCTCTTCCTGGAGTATTCTTGAGGTATCTAAGCACCCTATAGACTGCACTAAGATGTTTCTCCTTGGGTGAGTGCATGAATTGACTAATCATACTCACCGCAAAGGCAATGTCAGGACGCGTATGAGATAAGTAGATTAGTTTACCAACCAATCGCTGATATTGTTCTTTATCCACCTCATTCCCATCTTCAATACCTAACTTGGTATTAGGTTCCACAGGTGTCTCAGCAGGTTTACACCCTAACATTCCTGTTTCCAACAAAAGATCTAGAACATATTTCTTTTGTGTTAGAGTGATGCCTGTTTTGCTCCTAGCAACTTCCATACCAAGGAAATATTTGAGAGTGCCAAGGTCTTTGAGTTCAAATTGAGCTGCTAGAAATTTCTTCAAGGTGTTCAATTCCTCAATATCATCACCTGTAAGAATTATATCATCTACATATACAATAAGAATAGCAATTTTACCATCCTTAGAGTGTTTGTGGAAGAGAGTATGATCAGTCTGTGCTTGAATGAAGCCTCTTCTTTTGACTGCTTGTGTGAATTTGTCGAACCATTCTCTGGGAGATTGTTTCAATCCATATAGAGACCTTTTTAGTTTACACACTGATCCATTTCCCTTTTCAAAACCAGGTGGAGGATCCATATAGACTTCTTCATGTAAGTCACCATTTAGGAATGCATTCTTCACATCTAACTGTTGCAGAGGCCAATCTAGATTGGCAGCAAGAGATAAGAGAACTCGGATGGTATTGACTTTAGCAACCGGAGCAAAAGTCTCATGATAATCTATCCCATGAATCTGAGTGAAACCCTTTGCAACCAATCTTGCCTTGTATCTGTTGATGCTATTATCTGCATTGAATTTTATTGTAAACACCCATTTGCATCCTACTTCCTGTTTTCCTTTGGGTAGGGTCACTATCTCCCAAGTTCCATTTCTTTCTAAAGCATTCATTTCTTCAAAGACAGCATCCCTCCATTTTTGATCATTGAGAGCCTCATGTATATTTCTCGGTATCTTTGTACTATCCAACATAGTATTGAAAGCACGAAACCCTGGGGACAACTTTCCATATGAAATATGATTAGAAATAGGATGAGTAGTACAAGATCGAGTACCTTTTCTGAGAGCAATGGGCAAGTGTAGATCATTTTCACCATGACACTCAAGTATTGGGGTGCTGGAACTAGAACATGGTTCAAAATCCTGGCAGTGTAGAGGCTCTGGGTTATTCACACTTTGAGGAGGCTTTCGCCTGCTATAAACTTGTCCCCATTTTGAGGAGGCTCTTGATGGTGAGGATTCTGTAGCTCCCCCTGTTTCCAAAAGTAGAGGTAATACCGTGGCATCAGTAGGTTCCCATGACTGATCTTCATCTACTCCTATAGACTCCCCCTGAAGAGAAGTCGAGGGGAAGAAAAAGTCATTCTCAGAAAAAGTGACATCCATAGAGACAAAGACCTTACGAAGAGAGGGTGAATAACTGAAGAAAAGAAGAAGTGGAAGAAGTGTTTTATCTAAATAATACTTTCTTGATTCATTGAGAGACCCAATGGGTCCTTTTTATATTGAGTACATACAACTACCTCAACTACTTTAATAAATATACAACCACCAACTACATCAATAAATATACAACTACCAACTAAATATACAACTACCAACTACATCAATAAATACTATCTAGAATATTCTACATATTCTACACTCCCCCTCAAGTTGGGAGAT